CTTACTTTACATATTTTCAAAATACTCACCCATTGAACGGAAGCCTTGCCTGGGTCTGGATACCAGATGTGCTGGTAAAGTTGGAGTTGCTTGCTATAGACACGTATGAGGACTGCTGCAGCTACATGTAAAGAAAGGTCATTTTAGATATTTGCAAACATGGATAATACTCTCGAATAGGAGGATCAGTAAGCAGCACAGATACGGATCACTAAAGATATGGCACCTGGAAATGGATTTCAGAGCTCATTTTCCAAGGGCCAGTTGGTGGCATCATGTTCATGTGTGAGAAAGAGCTTTATTACAGCCATAGTCTGTTCTAAATCCGTGTGGTCTCTGCTGATTTTAGCTTCAACTTATTTCTTCTCCTATCTCCACAGGCTTGCCCTCCCACCAAGCTGCTCTCAGCTCCAAATTGCCTGACTTGTACATCTGACTTGTGCTGTATATTTCTAAATGCTAAAGATACATAGAAATAAACTCAAAGGTTTTGGTTAACATTTCAAAATTCTGGAAAGAGCCATTTTAATACGAAGTCGGATGTTTCTGAGTAGTTTCGGAATGTGATGCCGCTAGACATCTCAGACCCAATTACCACTTTTGAAACTCAGTGACTTCATTTTTTCCGCGTACCTGAGTAACGTACTGGGCTGGAAGCACTGCGTAACCCACGTTCCCTGTTCCCGGAGCTGGTGCCAGGACGGTGCCCGGCGGCAGGTTGGTGAGGTTGGGCTGGATCTGCGGCAGTGGCGTGGCCGGCATGATGAGCCGCTGCTGTGGCTGGCTAGTGGTCACTATCTGTGAAGTTGGATTGATTGGTTTGGGAACAACCTAAAAATAAAGGAAATATATCGATGATCACAAAAATAAATTTTACAGCTGCTCAATTCAGGATGGATCTCTTACACCTAAATCTTAACTTTCAATTTAAAAAGTAAATTGTCTATTTGGGAGAAACTGAGAAAAGAAGTTATGGGATACTCACTTGTTTGACAGTCTGAGCTGAGACAATTGGAACTGACATCCGCACTGGAGTTGTATTGACAACCACTGGCTTTGCTTTGTGAAAAAGGAAAAAAATATGAGTAATTTATTTATAGGAAATAGTATTTCAAACACTTATGAATACTTAGGTCTCCCAAGTTATCTTCATGAAAGAGCTTAAAGAATTCCATTTGTTTCCTATTTCGAGCAATCTTTAACCAGAATAGTTACCTTGCAGAATTGCTTGCCCCATCTGCCAGAGAACTTGTATCTAAGGTAGCTGCAAAGGGGTTTGTTCTGTGAAGTTTGGATTCGGTCGAGGGGCCGCACTCGGGGAGCTGGAGGGCCACATGTGGCCCGGAGGCCACAGGTCCCCATCCCTGGTCTATCTACTTTATAAGGGAGTATTTGTAGGTTCAAGACATTCTCCTGGAAATACTTCAATCTGTATTTAGAGGATTTTGCATTTAGTACTAAATCCAGTCGAATGAAATACTGTGTTAATAAAGGAACTACCATTCATAAGCTTGGGGAACAACACTTTTCTACACCACTGTTTCTAATTGCTGTTTCTATTCAAACCGGAGAAAATATCATTCTTGTGTAATTCAATATTTACAGAATACATACTAAGAGGCAGCAAAGCAAAGAAGTGAAGAATATGGGCTCTAAGTCATAAGACCAGGGGGTTCCAATCCCGGTTCTGCCGTAACCGCTTGAGCTCTCTTCGCCTGTGTCCTCACCTGCAACACGGGGAACGTGGACCTCACGGCATGTAAGCATCAAGTAGGGACGTCATTCATGAAAACCGATCAGAACAGACGATTGCCTAGCAAATGGTCGGGTGCTCAGTAAATGTTAGTTCCCACGACTGTTGCTGTGGTTACGACTATTACAACCACAGTGGCATTGCGGTCACTTTCCAGGGAAACTAGAGTACAAGACACCTGCTCTCGGGGAGGTTGCATTCCAGTAGAGCAGATTAGGCCAGTACCTAAATAAGACAGATTCTCTTACAGAAGATAAATGAAGAGCTGTGGGAGTTCAAAGAAAGAGAATATACATCTGCCTGGCGGAGGACGGGAATACAAGAGCGCCTGCGGGACGTGGCACCGCCACGGGCGCGAGCGATGGGCGGGTCGCATGGGGGCACACGGGTTGGGGGGCCAGTCTGGGCGGAACCCGGGGTCAAAGCTGACGCCACGGGCAAAAGGGCAGGCCGCAGACATTTGCTGAGGACTGCGAACGCTACGGTAGGGATCTCTGCGTTAAATTCTGTATTTTAGATCCAGTAGGCGATAAGAAGTTTCTGGGGATTTTTAAATACAGACATACTGGAATACAACACAACGAAATTGTATTTGGCAGCAGCGTGTAAGAGAATGGAGTTGCAAGAGACAAAAAAGGCAGATGAGTGAAAAATGAGGGCCTCGTCTGGGGTGGCAGCCCTGGGAGGGAAAGGAGAGAGCGGACGCAAGAGAACTGGGGAGGGGACAGGAACGTGACTTAGCAACCACTGAATGGCAGGAACTGTACGCATGAGGGAAGAAAAGATAAGTCCGTGTGGAGCTTTCGAGTGACCAGGAAACTGACAGCTGTTAGAACTAAAACGTCAAGGATGCGCTGATCTGAAGGGAGGACGAAACCTGACGTGGAGACAGCTGTGAGGAAACTCGGGGACGCGGCTGGCACTAGACCTACACGCTGGGGTCGAAGCGCTGCTGCCACTGCCACGCTCTGACGCGGGGATCTGAGACCACAGGAAGGACGTCTCTCCAGGTTTCGTTTAGGCAAAAGTAAGGCCTGGAGCCTGGTCTGAAAAAGACGGGTTGAGGCAATGGGATCTCTATTCCAAACCATACATGACAAACAGTAAATTGCCTTGGCTGGAAAGGCTACTCTGATAGTAACAGACTTTTTACTTTTGGTGGGGGCTGTAAGGCTGATAGCTGAAGACAAAAAGCTGGGAGTCCCAGAAGAGAATATTAAAGAGGGTACTCTGGTCCAGAGGGGAGCAGGCCACTGAAGCAAGGGGACAAACCAGGGAGGAGGGAGAGCCGGAGAGTTCTGGAAAAAGTGTATGATGGTGGTAATGGCTGCACAGCTCTGTGAATGTACTAAAGACCAACGAATGGTACTGTAAAAGGGTGAATCGTACGGCATGCATGAACTGTATCTCGACAAGTTTGCTGTACAAAGAGGGTATGACCATGAAACACGGCAGCAGTGACACTGGGCACCCGTTTGAAGTCCTTCCTGTTCTGTTTTCATTCTTGTCAGTTACACCCAAGCATTGGCAAAGTCACAGTAACCACTGTAGACTGGTCTCAGCGGTACTCGAGGGAATTAAAAGGTGAGCCTGAGTTTGTGCCTGGAACACAGGAGAGTGGGCGCCCTGAGCCATCTGCTCCCTGCGAGGAGAGGGTGGTCCCCGTGCCGAAAGCACACAGAGCAGCGGCGGGGCAGCGAGGCCAGCCGCCAGTGGAACGTGAGACCTTCCTGGGGGTCCTGAGAAATAACAGGGAAGGGGTGTGATCCTCCCTCAGCCACATTAAGTGGGGGACCGTCCCTGCCCCTCCCCACGCACACGCACAAATTGTGCTCATGTACACACGCAACCTCTCCCACCCCTGCAAAGGAAAACAAAACTTAGGAACTCAAGTTTACGTAGGGTTTGGCATCTGTGTGCTGAGTTTTAACTGAGGCCTGGGGAATGAAGAAAATACAAAATAAAGTGGTCATCAAACAGAACACTATAAAATATCTAGGGAAGGGGACAGTATATAACTAAGTCACAAGTCTGCATTTCTCTTCCTCCTTACCTTAGCGCACGTTACTAACTACTACTGCGGTTCTCACAGAAGCGAGCATAATCTTTTATTTTTTATTTTTTAGTCTTTAGCAGGAACTCTGAATAACCGTTTAGAATAGCCTCCTTCCAAACTTCAGAAACCACATCTGCAAGTGTTTGAGGCTTTTTAATTTCTTAAACTGATTTCCTGCCTCACCAAGATGACAGATTAGATTGTGAAAAGGTCAGCCAAGCACTCTTCTGGGTCCTTCTTCTACGCTGCCTGCCACTGAGCCTGCAATTAACACGATGGAGCTTCCAGGGGGGGGAAATGTTCAAGAGGACCCCAATTTCCCAATTTCCCTTGGCATTTAAGTAAATCCCTCATAAGAAGTTAGGCCCTTAGATTAATACATGTGATGAACTAGAGCAACTATTTGGTGTCTCTCTAATGAAAATGGTAGATTTATCTGTTGCAATCATTCCTGCGAATAATACATACACCAAGATCTTTTATGGGACGGGGAGAAGGACGAAAAGAGAAAAACGTGAGTGGCTCTGAGGGCGATCCGGCGGGCAGGGGTGCAGAGGGTGGGGCGGGAGGGGAGAGCAGAGAGGCCGAGCCGAAGGTGGACGCAGGAAGTGGGAGCGGGATGAGGGGTCGCCAGGACCAAAGGGAGAAGGAGAAGCGGAGACAGGCGGACAGACAGACACGAAGCTGGAGAAGAAGGCGCCAGACCGTGCTGCCTTCTGCGGTGTCCACCCCTCCTCCCTGCGTCACTGACGACGAAGCCTGATTCTTGCTAATGAGCAAATTAGTGTCAACGTGACTCAGGACTGATCCGCTGGCAGACTCTAGCCCAGCACGCGCACAGAGACACGTCAAATGCAACCAGCGTGTCTGACGACGGCCCTGCAGCGCCTCTCCGGCGTCCTGCTAAGTGTGAGTACCCAGAGGATAAAACCTGATTCCCTGAGTCGGCAATGCACAAGTCGCACTTTTCCTCTCATTAAGAGCACTATGATAGTGATGCTCTCCCGAAATCGGTTTAAAGACATTAGAAAATATAATTACTTGATGCGTCTAATTTAATAGAAAACACGCTAAAATACTGTTTACTCCATTTTCTCCCTTCGGTGATTTGAAAAAGAGATAGTTTTTTTTTTCCTTCCACAATTTTCCTCAGGTGGCCTGGCTGTCAGCAATAGATAGCTCCAAACCTCTGGTCTCTTAATAAAAACGAAAGAGTAACCGACGGGTCTTTAATTCTTCTATTTACTTCCAATAAACAATAAATCATTCGCTTGCTATCAACTGCTTTTTGACATTGTTGGAATATAAAGTAGTATCTTCCAAGGAAAAACTTAAGCCCTAAAATACAAAATACCCGGATCCTTTCATACCATTCAAGTTTTCAAAAGTAGATAAATACGGAGAAATGTTATATATGTGTCTGTGTGTGCGTATATCGGGTGGCAGGAAGGGCTAAACACAGACATAGAAAATAGAGAAGCAACAAACAAGAATATCCTCTGGGAAAAATACAACTGAGCAAAACATAACATTTTAATTACTTTTTTTCCCTTTTATTTATTTATTTTTTTAATTTCAGCATATTACAGGGGTACAGATGTTTAGGTTACGTACGTTGCCCTTCCCCCCTCCCCCTTAATTACTTTTTATTAGCAATTATAGATCCAAAGTAAGTAAAAGCTGAGAATGATATTACGTTCCTACTTGTCATTTATACCTTGCCTATTTGTCATTTAAACTGACCCAAACCCTATCAAGGGGATTCATAGCTTAGAAAACAAAACAAATAATTTGGTTACATTTAAATCTGTCCCACTGGCATAAAAGGTAGGTTTTTAAACCAGCAATAAAATGGCTAACCACCAATTAACAAATGATGATTATCATCTGGTATCATAGCACGCTGTGTACCGACTTTGAGCAGAATTCATGCTACTGTTACATAGAACTCTGATTCTATTTCTTTGCCTTCCGTAACAGCCACTGATTCAAACTCTCAGCAGAAATGCCACACTTAATCAGGATTTCAGCCAGAAAAGGACCAATGTTCTTTAATAATGTTAAAAGCATTAATTACGGTTTTAAAAAAAATGGTTACTAACCTTGCTGAAGAGGCTGAGTGTTTGTACTGGGATTCTGACTAACCGGCGGGGCTGAGCTACTGGCTGTTGTGGCTGTGACAAGTCGCACATAATGAAACTTGCTTCCAGGCACTTGGATCTGCTGGACATTGGGGGCAGTCGCCAGAGGAATGATTGTCTTAAACTGGGATGCGCTCACTCCTCCAACAGTGATGGTCTGCACCGTTGACTTCACTGCCTAGTGAACAACACAACACGGCTGTCGTTAACCTGGGGTTTGACTTCCCTGCTCCTCGTCATTTGTGACAGTCTCTCAAGTAACAAAGTACACTCCTGTATTTCATCAAAAGCTGCTGAAAGAAACACCCTGTTCAAAGAGAAATGAAAAGAACAGTAATGAATAGAGGAGTGAAACCAAAAGTAATGAGTTCTACCTTTCTTCTCTAGTAGGTAACCTCCTTGGTGGTCCAGGTCATATGACTTGCTATGAAGACATTATTACTTAATTTGTAAGAACTTACACAGTTTTTTTCAATACCAGGTAAAATTTATAAGAAAAGGATGATTTTAAAACTCCCAGAAATAAGCCCCATATTTAATACAGAGAAAAAAGGATACAGATAGTTGGTGTTATTACTACCCACCAAATTAACTATGACAAATTTGATATTCCCATCTTCTGCAGGAGAAAGAAACCCAAAAGAAAAGCCCATCTTACACCTCTACTAAGTCTAGTCAATTCTGAACAGCTTATAATACTCCCTAGGTACAAAAGTATGCACCAGCATACAAGCAGGAGGCCAAATTCAGTCCAAAATTGCCCCAGTTTTATTTGTCTAGGGCAACTCATTTGGGGTAAATCAGGTCTGAATAAATATGATGATTTTAATGATGATTTAATCATTTAAAAGTTGAGGATTGGTATTAATCCTTTCCATCAGTCTGGCAGAAGGCAATAGGACTTCCCCAAAGGCTAAAATGAATCATCACAGGCAGAGCAGAACAGACTGCGTCTTCTGCGATGTCCCTAACTGATGTTTAACCAATGTGGAACACACTGTCGCACAAAGTTCAAACAAGAGTCTCTAATTATTTAGTATTATTTTATAAAGAATGTATCCCCACCTATTCTATAAAAAGCCCTCATGCTAAAAGACAACTGACATATGATGGAAGAAATCTATATTCACTATGTGGATAATAATTTATCAAATAAGAATTCTGAAATTTTGGAACATTTTCATAAAGGCCCAGGGGAAAGAAAAAAGAATGCCATTTAGTTTGGAAACTCTACAGTCAATGGAAATAAATAATTCACATGTTATCATTAAGTGGAGGCACCAAATAGCAGATTCAAAATCAAGTTAATAACAATAGCCATAGCAGTCAGTGAATTAAATGAAAACAGAAAGCATATGAAAAAGGACAGAATGTGTAAATATGGAAGCTACTGAAAAATCCAGCAACCTATGAGATAAATATGCACAATGGTGCAAGAGACACAGTCCTTGCTATATTAGTTGAAAATGGGGAAAACCCACTAAGAAACAATAATAGTTACATATGCATGGAAGACAGCACTAAAAACTAAAGATTATCTGATTTAAATCTAGCAGCCACATTATGAGGATTAAATGAGTTAAATTATATAAAATATAAATAATAACATGTTGCATAGTACAAATTTGTATTGATCGTATTTTTATTGATAAAAATATCAATAATGCCCATTTTAGATGAAAAAACTGAAGTTCACAGAGATTAAGTAACTTTCCCAATGGCACACAGCTAAAAAGTAGCAGAGCCTTCTCCAAAGCCCATTCGCTTAACCGAAAGTGTGGTAGTACACATCTGTAGTCCTAGATTGTGCCCAGGAGTCTGAGGTTGCAGAGAGCTATAAAAATGCCACCGTACTCTAGGCTGTAGGTTGGGTTGCAGAGCAAGACAGGGTCTCAAAAAAAAAAAGAATATGAGTGTTTTCAAGAAAGCATCCCTATCTTTTATACATAACTATCTACAGATGAAATGACATGCTTAACTTAAAAAATCAGAGGTGGGGAGAGGAAAACAGGTAAGCTGATAATTCTAAAGTTGGATAATGAAAGGTATATGGCAATTAATTATACTATTCTAATGTTTTAATATATTCTAAATTTCTATAGTAAAAACATTAAAAGAATATAGCAATGAGACCCCATAGGTATTCAATCAACACGATAAAGACAAAAACAAAACCAATACACATAACACAGTAAAAGGAATAATTTCTTACTCATTTATTCTTTTTGCTTCTTTATCCTAGCTAATGGGTAACACTGTAAGGAGCTATATACAATAAAAATTCTAACAACAGAACCAATGGAGCCTGTAACCTGTAGTCACCTCAATTCCAACTCTTACTAATCTTTTATTAGGAAAATGGGTCCTTTTCACTTCAAATTGTATTTAGTACCAATCACGTAAGAGCTTCACAGCAAAAGCAAAAGCAATCAACTTCTGAAACCACTTCTCCAATTCTGTTCTAATTTTCAACTTTGCAATACCGGCTTTACTCAGATCACTTCCTGCCTGGATATTTGCAAAAGACACTCAAAATCAGCTTGAGGATTCCAGTCTCCACCTGTCTTGAATCCACCATGCAGACATCGCCTAACTAATATTTTACAAACTTCACTTTCACATTTTTATTGTATCTCTTGTCTCCCAAGAGTTTCTGTTTGATAACAAAATTAAGCCTAAATTTGCTTTGTTTTGAAGATTATCCATAAGTGGCCCTATGTTTATTTTCTCTCCATTCCCCCCAAAGCATTAGTAATTCCAATCAGAGTAGTCGTCTTACTGCCCCATGTGCACAGCATGTCTATTTCACCTCCAGTCCTTTATTTTTGTGGCTGACGTTCACTCTAACTCATACCCACATAAAACCCTAGCTCGGGGATGCCTTCTCAAACCACTCCATCTATAGCTGAATCACCTTACATAGGATATCACACCATCATGTATTTTTTCTTGGTTTTGCAAATGTATATGTTTGTGTAATTATTTGACTGACTTCTTTCATACTCCTTCCCTCACCCTCACAGACTTTACGTTTCACACGTCCATTTTTGCTCTCTACTGTTTCCTCAAATAGAGCACATCGTACTTCTTGGAAACAAAAAGATGTATATAAAATGAAATTTTAAAAACATTGTTCTAAGTTAAGTAATTTCATCTGGATTGAGTTAACAATATGATTATTCTATACAATTAACTAAAGCAACACAAATAATTTGTACAAACATATTACACCATGAAAAAATTGTATTGGAATGTATCTCTTATTAGATGTATGGGACTCACTTTAAAAAATTACTTTTTGTATCCATAGATGGATATCACATATTGCTAGAGTAAAACGGAATCCAGCAACAATTACATTCCTATTATCTGAGCATTCACTGAAGTCCTTCTTCAACTTAGTAGAAAGAAAAGTAGTGGAACCTATCTGAACTACAAGCACAAGAATTTTTAATCATCTGCAGTCATTCGTTTTCTCAATTCCTAGGAAATGGATCAAAAAGGCTTTTTACCAAAACCTATCAAATGATAGGTGCCTTATTTATCCTGATACATTCAGAAATGCTTGGGAAAATTTTTTTAATTGTTAACTACCTGGGCAATAACAACATTCTTTATCTTAGTAAAGGTTTGAATTGCATAAATGTATGCATTTTATCGGAACTCATCCAAGGGTAACTTTTAAGATTTTCATATTTTAGTATGTGTAAATTTTATCTCAAAAAAAAAAAAACTCTTCTAAACAAACAGTGAATTCTAGTTGATATGCTTGATGAACTACCGGGGAAGAGTATACCCGACATGTGCAACTTACTTTGAAAGGCATTAAAAAAATAAGATAATTAAGGTATAAAGGAATGAATAGCTAAATGCTAAATCTAGAATTTAATTACAGATGTTTCACATGCCCCCTTCTCTAAGATGGTGATGTCCAGTTATTAAATCTTAAACCTCTTTCAACACATCTGTTCTTCCCTAGCCCCTGAGCTACTGGTCTAGCACAAACCTGAAGTACTACAACAGTCTCATTCAGTGATTCTCTACCCTGGCCTACACTTTAGAATTTACAAATATTAACTCTAATACCTAGGCCCCAGCCTAGAGATGCTAATTTGAACGGCATCAGGTAGGGTCCAGCCATTAGTTTTTCCAAGTGGTCCCCCGGTGCTTCTAAAGTGCAGCCAAGGTTGGGACTCACTGACCCACCCGACCTCTCCCGCAATCCAGGCTCATCTTCCTCCACACTCTCCTTCACAATGGCGCAGAGCCACCTTTTTAAAAATGCGAATCTCATCTTATTTAGAGCAGTCGTTCTCAATCTAGGCTGATTAGGGAGCTTTAAAAAATCCTGGTATCAGGCCAAACTCCAGAGAGATTAAAACAGAATTTCCAGGGATGAGAACCAGGCATCGGTATTTATTAAAACGCTCCAGGTGATCCCAGTGTGCAGACAAGGGCAGCAGCCACTGTCCTAATGCAGTGCAAAGTCACAGAAAGTCCTTAAGAGCAATAAAATCCAAACTCCCCGAAGATGGGACCTTCCATCTAACCTCAGCACCCTGCCAGAACAACGTCACTCCCTAGAAGGGACGCACTTTTACGTAAAGTAACACCTCAATCCAGAAAGTCCTTCTGCTCATCCACAGCTAAGTCCAACCCGCCTTCAAGGTTAAGACGTTTCTCTGCATAAACCTTCCCTGACACACACAGCAGAGCTCATCGATCCACTCACGGCCGTTACCACTCTGTAGGGCAAATTTCAGTGTTTCAGTCTAACTCCCTTATCGGGCTCCTTGACATTAAAAACCTTATCCTTGAAACGTATAAAACCAAACCGTAACCCAACCACAGCGAGTCCACTTGCTCAAGGCTTCTTGGGCATGGCTCCGGGTCATGGTCCTCAAATTTGACTCAGAATAAACCTCTTTAAATTAAAAAAAAAAAAAAATCAAAAGATCCTTGTCTTATTCATGTTTTATCCCCCATGTCTATCACCATGCCTGGCACATAGTAAGCTCTCAAATAGCTGCTGACTTCATCCCATTTAGGAAAAAAATGACCTATGTTATTACGGAGGTAAAATCCCACTTTCATAAACGGTAAGAGACATATATTTATACATTATATTCAAGCCTCATTAAAACAGAAACCAATAGCTGGACGTTTTAAAAATGTAAGGCAAATGTTTAATGTTTGTTCTGTTATGCACAGTAATACATCCAGGTACAAAGGGCAGAATGTCTCCAGAGTCGCACGGGCAGCAGCTTACAGAATAATGCTTGGCTTTCCACCTAAATAGTGTCTTTGAAACATACCGTTTCTGAAAATGTTATGCTAGTATAATGACATCTGTATGTTTCAGGAAAGCGAGTTAGACTACTGACTTTACCCGAGCATAAAATGATATAGGTACTTAGCCACCTCAAAATGAAAACAAATTATGAAAAGCTTTTCAACGCTTTCAACGAAATGTACTTAAGCTTAAAAACACTGATAATATGGTTACTAGCATGTGATGGGAATTTCTGGTACTCTGGGTCCTGTCACCCGGCAAAAGCTCAGATCTCCATTTAAAAAATAAGTTACATTTAACATTTTATATTCACACAGTCACTATATATGTGCCTTCCCCAAAGATAATAATAATGTTAAAATATTAACACTTACATAATTACTTTATTCAAAAGATTTTTGCTGTGTCCACATTCATATGGGCCGTGGAAGTCATCTTAACATGCAAAATGATTACTATGTTACTCTGTGTTTAAGGTAAGTTTTTCATCTGTCAGACATCCTTGGTTATTAAATTAATCCAGCATTTGCTGAATGTTTATTACCTGCTTGGGAATATATTAAAACTGAAGTATCTGAAGTAACTAGTAAGAAAACAAAGGTATCAACCACAATATTTGGTATTTGTGGCTAATTATTATTATTTTTTTTTACCTTATTTGGCGATTTCAGAGGTGAGATGGCTATTTTATTTGGTGTCTGTGTTGTAGAGTTTAAAGTTGATGCGATAACAGCACTTTCTGATATCGTTATGGTCTTGGACGGGGTTCCGGGAGCAGACTGTGAAAGGACCCTACCTGCGGAGGAGAGGCAGCACGTCAGGTCGACTTTTTAAAATACCGGTATAAAAATCACGTGATGATGACCTACGCCCACGAGGACTAGAGTGTGTATATACATAATATGTTCACTATTTCACAGATATCAACATATGAACGTAAACACTTAAGCGAGTCCCTAATGAACTGCGGTAAACCTAGGCAGACAAAACAATGCTTCTTAGCAATACTTAATATCTTAGTTCACATAAACTCTACAAATGAACAGTTCTGCTCATATTCTCATCAACACTGTTAAGTTATATCCAACAGAAAGCAAGTTCAGGACAAGTAAGCAACGTGCCCTGTGTAACACAGCTCCTAAAAGTCTTCAGGACTTGAATCTAAGTCTTAAAACTTCAATCTCCGTATTCTACTATCTACCGCTGTCTTCCTATGTGAACATAAACCATGAAGGTACAATTTAAATCCACACTTACAAAACAGATAGTTTCTAGACTAACTGGAACACTGTCAGGTTTAACACTGTCTGAGTTTAGACTGCCAAAAGGAAAAAAAAAAACTTTATTATAGCTACCCTGGCCAGATTCCATACTGTGTTCCCTTCCGGACAATACCCTTCAGGAACAACATCGAAAAACTAGTGGTGGCGCACGCCTGCAGAGCCAGCTACTCGGAGGCTGAGGCGGGAGGATGCTTGAGCCCAGGAGATTGAGGTTGTAGTGAACTATGATGACACCACCGCACTCCAGCCCAGGCGACAGAGCGAGACCCTGTCTTGGCAGGGGGCGGGGTGGGGGACACCAGGAGCAATGGCTCATGCTTGCAATCCCAGCACTTTAGGAGGCCAAGGCAGGAGGATCGCTTGAGGCCAGGAGTTCAAGACCAGACTGGGCAACAAAGCAACACCCTATCTCTACAAAAAATTTAAAAATTAGCCAGACATGGTGGCACCCGCCTATAATCCCAGCTACTCAGGAGGCTGAGGCAGGAAGAAAGCTTAAGCCCGGGAGTTTGATGTTTCAGTGAGCTATGATGATGCCACTGTCCGGGTGACAGAGCAAGGAAGGAAGGAAGAGAAGAAAAGAAAAGAAAGTAAGGAAAGAAAAGGAAGGGGAGGGGAGGGGAGGAGAGGGAGGAAAGAAGGAAGAAAGATTACAACGTGTCTGGACGGTTAGGGAATTAGAAGTCATATTACATTGAATCGAAATATTGGGAATTTTTATCCTAGGCAAGAAAGGAATACAAAGACATGACAGAGCTCCAAATTCTTGAAAGACTGTGTGACAGCTATTAGTGCCATTCACCAAGTCTTCCCGTTCTCCTCCATCTGGGCACGCAGTAGAACTACACCTGCACCTCCCACCCTCCCCCACTCCCTATCTTGTGGTCATGCTGGGGTCAGTCGACTACTTCTGGCCTATGAGTTACAAGCAGAAGTGACATGTGTCATCGCTGGGCCAGAGGAGATATTGCTACCTATGGAAGACCTTCTGAAGCTTTCTTTTCCTCTTCTGCATCTGAGATACTGGGTCCTTTATCAGCCTGTGTCCCTCAGTGAGTATGAGAAGAGCCCCACTCTGAGCCCACAATGGGCATGTGGATAATCAGTAAGCATGAATAAAAAAATAAAACTTTGAGGTTTATTTTTACCCTTTTAAGATGGGACATAGTTATTTTGGCAGGAAGGACAAGATTATCCTGACTGATCCTGGCTGTCAGGTGGAAGGATTAGAATCAATCTGTATCGCATCAAATGTATAGAAACAGAAAAAAATTTCAGCTCAGCACTAAGAAAAAACTTCTAACAAAAATTTCCAATTGCAATGACTATTTTAACACAAGTGAGGTTCTAGTCACTGAAAGTGTTCCAAACAGATGCTGGATAATCAAGTCCAATGGCTAAAGAGGGACGTTAAGCATCTAAGAAGTAAAGGAAGTAGATAATTCAATTATCTAAAATCATTTCTAACCTTTAGATGCTCTGACTGAACTTACCGATACAGCTAGAAACGAAGGAGGAGAAAGAAAGAGAGGGAGAAAAGGAAAGAGAGCAAGAAAGAAGGGATTTTTCCCTTAGACAAAAATAAAGAACTAGTACTTAGCAATTTCTGGGCAGTCTTTCCTGATCACAACGCCAAAGTATACATAGCTTCTTCTTGAAAAGTGAATCAAGTTTTATTCTCATTTATGAAGTCTTTAAATATTTTAAATACAATTTTCAAACTGTTTTTGTAGTACGTGATTATTGCCATCTTGCTGAGTTTTAAAAAGCCTGAATACATCATAACCAGATAAAGTCAATTCTATATAAACTAAATGAATCTACGTCAAATATTTTTAGAAAGCCACCCAGAAGTGTCGAGCCCACCTAAAGGAATATGTTTGTCTATTCTGGTTTCCAAAACTAATACCTGTGAGATATAAGCCTGAAGCCCAACAACCATTCAGTTAAGAAAAGAAATTACCAATAAAGGTATAGTGTCGTAAAATGCTCATCATTTATAGTCATTGCTATAATCTCATATTTGTTAGGAATTACATACCTTTCAGAAAACGTTCATATAGAAAATCCTCAATTCCTGAGGATAACTGATACCAGAAAAAGGCCACTTAGAGTGAATTCACTTAAAACAGGAACAAAAATTTCATTGTAAATAACAAAAGAAAACTGAAGTTTCACTTACTTTTTTTGGCTTATATTTTTAAAAAATTCAGTTTGTAACTAAAACTGCACAAAACCCTCAGGATGAACAAAGAAAAAAATCAGCTGTTGCATTTGGGGGAGAAAGGTTTCTTCTGAAAATATGTATGATATAGATTCTGCCTGATGGGCACAACATGATCGTAAGAATATTCTGGCAGGTCATTTCTGCCAAAATATTTCAAGATTTCATCAATTTTCCCAAGAACCTCTATATCCTTTGAAATTTATTTTTTTTTTTTGAGGGGTCTGCTTGGTTTTCACCTAGATAGCATTTCTGATTATCTAATCTAACCTCCAA